CTTTGGTATGATGCTCTAAACAGCGCATGTTCTAGGCACTAATGAGGCCTTATATGCAAAGCAAGTCAAACTTACACATGGGTCAAGGCACATGTGTTGTTCCTTTTGTCACGGCATGTTGACCTGACCAACTCGCACATCTGCCCCATGACAAAGTAGAATTTCCAGCGTAAACTCTTTGTGATTCCTGCTGATAGTGGGGTCTGCCAAATAGACTGATGGCAACAGAACCGGAATGCTTCGGTCAGCCGCTTGTGCAACTTAATGATGCCATCAGTACGTGCATCTCCGTCAAATATCAGTGTTCTGCAAACTGACCACGCACCTATGTGCACAATCAGCTCATTCCAAGCATTGTACTCAGCCAAGCAAGGCAGTCCTGCTCTGCCCACTCCTGATTGGCTTACTACTCCGGCCCTCACTCACCCTTCACCAAGTGCCAAACTCTGCTTTGGTGATACCTGGTGCGAGGTCACCAGTTAAGTGTGCATGTTGCGCCAAATACCAGGAACTATACAGCTTGAAGTGAAACTCGAGCTTGAGCCCAACAAATAGCAGGACAACCCCCCCGTAGCTACATGTGGCAAAATGTAAGAGCATTGGTTGATCAATAGGGTGATCTGTTCTAGCACTGTCGGTTGCGACACTCCTCCTCCCCCCAGAGTAAGATGGGCCTATGTTGAAACGGCCTGCGCTTCGAAGCTGTATTTTACAACACAGGAAAGAGCAATTATGTTCACCGCTGCCCATTTGAAGGTCGGACGACTTTTCAGCCAGTCTGTGGTTCCCGCAAATCTCCACGTGACAGCTTGTCTTGGATTTGAAGGGTCGGTAAGCAATCAAGCCAAAAAGCCACGAAGCCACTAGCCCAAACTGCCAAGCCGGGGATAGCTGCAAGCTGAACAGCGGCTGAAAAATGGCTTGCCTTCTTTGAATCGAGCCGAGGAAACATGTATGTATGCTGCTAAGGTGTAAACAGGAATCAAATACGCTTCGTGCAATCCACAGATCCACGCTCCGAAATAGAAATCCCCCTCAAAAAGAGAGCAATATGTTTCCGTGGAATTGCCTGGTTTTGTCTAGCTTTCTATGTTGACTTCTTTTGGCTTGCGGCTGTCTCAACCTCGGTGCGTCCAAAAACCTCCCGGCCTATGCCCTTCTTCTTGAAGAGCTTGTAGAGCTGCTCCCAGTTGTCCACCTGGCAGATTGAAGGGACTAGGACTCTGCATGGGTTGGAGAGCGGTCTGGAAGAAAATGGCCAAGTTGATACCTGATCGGTCAGGGTTCAATGCCCCCAATAGAGCGGTCCTTTGGACCGGTTTAGCACTGAGGTATACGGCGGGCCTGTATACATGTCACCATCTCGTATTTGTTTCCTGATCTTGGGGGCAGTGCAGAGTAGCTGGCTGGTTGAGAATTGGTTTGTGGCCGTCAAGTTCTTGGCTGGGACTAACTTAGAGTTTCTTTACGGCTGTATTCGAGTGGTCTGGGTGGTTTGGGGCAGCCAAAACCATGAAGCAACCCCAAAGCCACTGCTAAAACCGCCCCAAAACTGACACAAAGCAGCTCCAAGCCAACCTCAAACTACACAAAGTCAAATCCTGGACCCACCAAATAGCACTCCCAATATCAGCCCTTAGCCCAAGATTTAAAAACCCTGTCAACTGCCAGCAAGTCAGGCCAGTATGTGACATGTTACTCATGCAAGCCCCCCATGAGAAGTCAGGCCAGTGAACCAACCGACCAACCAAGCAAGTTCTAGACTCCCTTTTGGTTTCATATGTTTCAGAAGCTGCCATCATGGCCTCTTGCTCATTCTCCCGGGACTTGAATGAGAACCAAGATTCATAGGCCCTCTGTGGTTGCAGTCTTCCCTTGTAGAGAGTAGTGAGAAGCCTTTTCAGCACCACTATGAACCTGAGGATCCCCCTTTCGCGCCTTTCTGCACAAAAGCGTGCAGCTGGATTCACATGCAACGTGGGTTCCATTTGGCATTGTCATATTCCGATGTGAATCAGAAGGCTCAATGGCCACCGCATGAGTTTTGCCTTGGGAGTGCCTTCAAAGTTCCGTGTGCCTGATATAGCCTCTCCACTATAGCGTGAATGCAGGTTGACAGTATGCAGCCCTCCACAACAGCCACTTAACAAGGCACGCTGCCGCTGCCACTGTCCAGCCTTCGCCTCTAATCTGGAGCCATTCTCGTAGGTGTTGATGTCCACATCCTGCATGTGTTGTTTCACCTAAGCCTTTGTCAAAATGAGCGGAATCTGAAACAAGCAGCGAACTCCCAATGAAGACATCTCTCATGATAGCTGCGAAAAGCCCTGGTAGAAGGACTGCCCCAAACTTGGTTGACGTTGGAAGGGGAGCAAAAAATGTTTTTTTTAGCAGTTAAAGTGGGGAATTCCTACTAAACCATAATCAGCAAAAATGTAAAGTGTTTCCCAACAACAACATGCAAAGTCGGATGCGTGATTCGCCGGCGTTTGAGCTTCCAGCTGGGTTCGCCTGTTTGCCTCTCGCGTCAGGCACGCCAAGATGGCTATGCTGACACCCAAAGATGGTCTCCTCTCTTGATGATGGGTCATCCCAAATCTTCCCCAACCCCTGACTTTGTCATTCTTTGTTCGTCTCTCTGAACGAGATGGAAACACAATAAATCTGAATTCTTGCAAGACTAGTTGGGACAAGTAAACAGTGGGGATTTGTGGCAAGCCACCATGTCCAATACAACTACGCTAACGTCCCGCCCAAACCATCAAGGAAATGCGTCCTGCGGATGGTATCGTGACATGATCTCAGCTATCAAGTAGCCTGGCACAAAGCGCGTTGGCTCCAGGATCCGTCATCGCACGGCACCTTTCTTAGCTGGAATCGCTTGTACATAGCCGCCTTTGCAAGACTTGGAAGGCCTGCGCCCCTACTGCCAATGCCAAGTCAACAGGCCAGAGTCGCCATTGCTAAAGTCCCTCTTGGGATTCTTGATGCCTGGGCGGGCTGCGGAACGGTGACAGTACTGTGTTGGAGGCGACCCCAGCTGAAGCACGTGTCACTTGCAACTAGCAGTGGGCCGCTTGCATAGGTCTTCTCGCAAGACTTCCTAGCGTTGAGCTTCAACTTGATTCGGTTTGGTGGACAAGCAAACCGTCACACACATGAAGCCAGAGCAACATCATACCCTCAGAGTAACGTAGTATTGCTGTCAATGTAACACATTGCCACATTGCTGGCAGCAAATTCTTACAAGAGGTCAGCATCTGAACACTGAAACAACGCATGAGAAGCATGGAAATAACTGCTACTGACAACACAAACACAATGGAATCGCGACAGGTTCAGAACAAGATGGAACGTTGAGAGATTCTGATGCCTAGCCAGATGCCACAAACGTCACTCAATTGACAGCCAGCGTCTGCAAACCGATAGGCCAGGAAGAATCAGCCGGAAGAATCAGCCTTTCATACAATTGAGATACAGACTTGACAGGATCTAAGGTTTACCTCCGGAAATGCGCCCCATCGTGCAGATTCTAATTCTAGATGACCCCAGGTCAAATCCTATTTGTCTCCAAATGAGAACCCCGAAATGGATGAGACCGAAAGCACCTGGAACCTTTGGCCCAGCTCTTTTCCCAGCGCGCTCCGGCCCAGGCTGAAGGAGAGGTCCAGTGCTTGGAGCCACTTGATGATCTCCCGCGGCAACGGGGCCCTTAGTGCCCATAGAATGCCCAAGACTCTGAGGTCATCCACACCTCCAGTGAGAATGTTCATGGCCACAGGACGCCAACGTTCTGCTCGCTGCTTGGGTAAGGTGGCTTGTTGGTGGGCAGGGCATGCGGCAATTGGAAAGCACAGGACGGCGTGGGACAAGGCAGTTGTAAAAGGTATGACCCACAGAGGACACCTTGAAATACAAACCTGGATGTCTTGCAAAGGGGCAAATCATTTGCTCTTATGCTCCCATCAAGACCAAAGACTAGCTGCGCCTCGTGAAGGACAAACCTAGGTCTGATCCCTTCCGCATATTATCATGAGAATAACACACACGAATGGCACGCAAAGACAACTTCAACTCAACAGGAACACAAACCCCATGCGAAAATCAGTGCATCGTTCCAGGCGATCTCTAAATCACCGAAACATCCAGCAATGTAAGGTCCCCACCCCATCTCCAGGAGCTCTCAGTCCAGAGTGTGCCGATGTGTATCTGCTGTGTGCTGATTCACCCTTGGGCTTGGTGTCATAGTCTCTGCCACGTCAAGCCCAACTTCGCGTAAATCCGCGACAAGTAGAGGCCCGTTGGTTTGGCTCTTTGCTCTGCCTGACACATGCTGTTGGAGCACTCCCTTTCTGCTCCCACCTACAGCTGGAGCAGGGAGTGACCGCGCATCGTTGAGCCTGCGGGCTACCTCAGCTCAGGATTTTACGGGGCAGGAATAAGTCGGTGCCAGCCCGTTCTGGAAGGGGCTAATCTAGAGCGAAATCAAAAAGATACCTTGTCCAAGAAAACAACTATTTGCTCAATCACATCGCCAAAAGTAAACCACGTATTAACCCAGCTTCCACTGCTAACACAAAAAGGGTCTGCAAACTTGATGGCACTAAGGGCAAGGATTGATTTGTTGGCAAGCAGCAAGCGGTATCCAGAAAACTGACAGCCTTGGTCTTCATAATGATGTGGTTGCAGCCTGTTGTCACTGTTTGCGAGACCATCATGATGACATGCTTGTTTTTTCCCCTGTTGGGGTCGCATGCTACCCGCGTACATGCAGTCGCTTCAGCACCACAACCGTGGTGAGAATACGGTGAACAGCTAAAAGGGAATCCGCTCTCGTCCCCAAGAGCAGGATTCGACAGCATGCACCAGCCTGACGCCAAGCTCGATGCATGCCGAGGCCACGGGTACGCGTCGATTCGGTACCGTTGCAACAAATTCTGTACGATGCATCAGTTGATCGTCGTGGCGGCCCAAAGTGGAGCTGTTGTGGCAATGGCATATCAACCAGCTTTGAAATCCACGAATTCCACACGGGAGGTGCTTCTACGCACCACCTTCGGGGGCGTCATGTCGCGCTTTTCACCTAAAAACTGCATCGCTGCGTGCAAGCCCATCAGCGAGGCGTCAGTCAGCGAGCCACACCGGTCCTGAAGAGTCTCAGAAGGAACAGCGGCTTTGGAAGATAAAAGAGGCCAAGAGAAATATCAACAAAAGACAACCCCAAATGTGGGCGGAAAAATCGGGGACCCTTTGGTGGACATCATTCAGGTGAGGATTCATGTGTACCACTCACTTTTGGGTCCTGAAAGACCATGAAGGTCCGCAGAAGGTCCACCAGCTGGTCGCGGCCCAGCTCCCTCTCCAACTCCTTCTCGCAGCCCTTGGCCAGCCAGGCCAGGAGCAAACTGGCCATGGCGAAGGTCACGTGTACCTGGAAACGGCCAAAGGAAAAAGAAGAAAAAGGGCGTTGCCCACCACAAAATCCTTAGACAGATGTTGTGCAAACCAGCAAATGAGAAAGAAGCTTGCACGCCATGTGTTGTTCCTCCCTGTTTTCAGGGCAGTCATCACCCCAAGTCTGGTTAGCAAGATCGTTGATGAATCCTGCGGTGCTTGCAAAGTTGCGAAAGGACAAGTGTGCCAATTGCCTACCACCCCCAATCCATGGAAAGGTGGGCTCACATTTGCCCAGTGTCGCAATCTGACCAGAAGGCGGTCAAATTGGCAAGTTGGAAAGACCAGCCGTCGCCCTTTTGGCCAGGTATGAGGGATTTAGAACACGGTGGATATCTCAACAGGCAACACAAACCAAAGAGGCTTTGAAAGTGGTGGCAGCTGGCGGCCAGCTGCCAGACATATCTTGCGGCTTGAGTTTCCCTTTGAGATGAGTGCCTTGTCCAATCCAAACACAATCCCAAGCGGGCCTCCACGTCACCATCGGTGTCTCCGCTCAAATGCTCCTTGGCTTGCAAAACAGTGGCTTGCGGTGCATGTCCTCAGATTTGGCAAGAGTGTTGCGGGAAACGCTGAATGCTTGCCTTGTGCGAATTTTTCGTTTGGAGCGGCAAACTGTCCAACGCCTGTCGATGAGCTTCCTTCACGTGGAAATTCACGTGAAGGATAAGGTGCATGCACGGCACACTGCTGGCTGTGTCACGCCAGCGTTGCCAGCAAAGCTTGCCAAAGGTTTCTCTGGAGCCCTCGAATGACAAATGGCCCCAGGCCTCTTGGATAATCTCGAAACATGCCGGCACCCGCCATCTTCCAAAGACTCTTTCTGAGCTCCCTTCGACGCGAACGCAAAGTGGGGTCGACCCAAAGCCAACTCAAGCAGAATGTCGCCTTCGAAACTGCCCAATAACTCCTGCTTCGACTCAAAACGGTTGCCTCGCCCATGGGCGACCAATGGCAGAGTGACCGTGTACCTCTTTGCTGTTTGTTTTTTTGACTTGTTTGCTTCCATCAGCGTATTGTCCCGCTCGCATTCCGGACAATATGCATCATGTTCCCACGTGCATACCTTCCTCTTTGCCCCGTTTCGTCCAGGCGTCGCTGTACCAGGCCACCGCCTTCGTCAACCCTGCCCCAAAGGTCTCGCAAGCCTCGCCCGGCCAAGGCAGCCATGGCTGCGCGGGCAGCTGCGAAAGCGCCTCGCATGTCGCATTGGGACCACCTCAAACACTCAAAGGAATCAAACTTGGACCCTGAAAATTGGACCCAGATGACGTTATTTATATAAACTAATATATCGTAGCATAAGCCCTATGTTGCGCAGGACAACTCCACGGAAGTCATAAACTCGTGTTGGGGTCATATCAGTGTCCGACTTTCTGGGTCCACGGCCTTTTACTGGCACTTGCATATTGTAGTCATAAAACTCTTGCAAAACACTCTGGGAAATCTTGTGGGGCAAAATTGCTTCACAATGGAAATGTCAGAATGATCTCTGAATTGGCCAGCTAAGCATTGCAAGGCCTGGCCTATCATCTAGCAAGGGCCATCAGGAGAGAATGCTTCAATGAGACCACTGATGCTGGAGTGGAGAAGCCTCCCCCTGTGCAGACAGGCAGCCCCACCGCCTGATTTGCTAAATTGGAGCATCCAACTAGACATTGGTCCGCCTGACAAGAAACGAAGCACTCATGAAGCCACCCTTTCGACATGCAGATCTTATTTGTCAACCAAACCTCGCGGAAGATAAGGAAAGCGTTTGTTGTGGTTGCCACAAACGCTTCGACCCATGGCGTCATGACATCCCAAGCTAGATCACCTCAATGGGATGGGAAAGGCGAATTCTTTGCCTGACATGAACACGTCAGGCTCCGTTGCTTGTAATCCGGGAATCCTTCATATTTCATCCGGCGCCGTTAACAAACGGTGCACGCCACAAGGCCCGGCAAACAAGCAAGCAAAAGCAAAAGCAAAAGCAAGGCAAGGAAACACACAAAACGGCTGCCTGTCACCTGCAGGCAATTGGCCAAAGGGGCTTCCTTCCGACCCTGGCCTGGCAGAAATCCGTGCTCTGGGCCGCTGAATTGGCCAGCACTCCCAGCACGGCCCGCTGCACAGTGCCCGACGTGCCCATGGCCGCAACCAACGGCTGCAGCGCCACCTTCCATGCGTGGCATGTGGTAGGCGAAAAACTTGGCAAGACACAGAGTACCAAACGAGAAGCCCGGCTTAAAACTGAGAGTTTGTGGGAAGTAGTAGAACAATTCAATAGTGGAGAAAACGTTCAGTTGTTGCTGGATCTATCACTTGTCTCAGTGGCCACTCTCTTGGACAGGGAATTGAGCCTGCAAAATCAGCAAGTATTTGCTCTGACTTCGTACGTCTAAGCCCGAGAAGCTCTTGTTTGGTTTCCAACATTTGCACCAAACTTTCCTCAAGCTGCATGAAAAGCCCACCATCCGGCCATCCGCCTGGCACTTGATGGTGACTGCCCCAATTCAGCGGATCACACCGCTTCCTCCCCTTCGCCGACAAACTGAATTCTGAACCATCAGCCAGGGAGCCTTCCCTCACACCCCAGGCTCGCCTCAGGCACCACCACGCCGGCCCTATGCAGGGCCCGCAGGCAGGCCAGCAGCCCGCGTTCGCTGCCCGGATTTTCCAACGCGTCCCTAGGGGCACGCAAACGCAAAATAGGCGGTCTAAATGGGGACCAAACATTTGGGGTCAAACACTATCCAAAAAGGGGACGCCTCATGGAGCAAATTTGGCGACACAAAAGATTGACATGCTCGCAATGTTGGAGGAGATTGCTGACAAAGCCAGCCCCAATAGAACGTCCGTCGGCTCCTCCAGGTGCAAGGTGTCTGTCCACGCTCATTTGTAGCACGCACTTGAACCAAACCAGAGACTGTCTCCGGTGAACATGGGGATGTGGAATAAGTTTCTTGCCAATCTCCAAGATTGTTAACTTGCATTTCCCTCTGCACTCACGAGGCCTTGATGACTACAATTGCATTAGGCTTGCAAATGGTATCGCGATCTGCTTCCTTACATCTGATAGGGGGGGGCACGAGCCCGAATGCAAAACAATTGCCCAAAGCTACCGTTGTGTGTGTGTGCGTGCCCCTGCTTCTTTCTGTCCATCTGCCTGCCCATTCATCCATGGTTCGCGCGTCTGTTTGTCTTCCTATCTGTCTATCCGTCTGCCCATCTACGCAGCTGCACACCTACCCACCGATCAAAATTGTAACTACCAATCTGCCTATCTAACAATCTGTGAGAATACCCCATGTATTTCAATTTAAACATATCTAGCCTACTTATCTACGCTAATCTAAACTAATCTGTCCATCTGTCCCGCTGTCTAACTATCTACCTGCCTGTCTATCTACCTACTTATCTATTGTCTAACTCTTATCTGCCTGTCTCACCTAGCCTTGCCCAACCTAGCATGCTCCAACCAAATCGATTCACCTATCTGCTTTGGTCTAATCCAACCTAATCTTGTCTTTCCATCTTTCCACCCATCCACCTACTGTTTTATCTACCGACCCCATCCATCCATCCATCTACCTGTTGTGCTATCTATCTCTCTATCTCCCTACCTATCTATCTGCCTGTCTTTCTTTCTAACTATCTACGTATCGAATCAACCTACATATTTGCGCGTACATCTATGTAGCCTTGTTTCTTTCTTTCATCTATCGTTCCATCTATCTCTCTCTGTCTCTCTTGCGCCTACACGAAACCAATACTATGTGCTCCAAAGTGCTGCACCTGCCACAAAGCTCAACGCGCAACCCTCCAAAGCGCTGCGACTGCCACGAAATCAAGTCTTTGTGCTGCAAAGTACTGCGATCCAAAGCGCTGCGCCTGCCAACGCGCCACAATTTGCGCACAGGCGCAATGCAAACAACACGTTGCAAGTCATACAGATCGCACATTCTGAGCCTTCCCCAACGGCACGCAACTTTCGCCACCTGCGAACGCTGGCGACCACTTGCGGGCGCTGCCGGACGCTTGCAGACGCAGCGACGCATCTCGCGGAACACATGCTGAGCCCTAGACCCCTTTCTACAACTGAAACTTTTCTGCGACGCATTCGAGTTAAAATAAGCCAAAAAAGTACAAAACAGACAGACACAGACAGACACAGACAGACACAGACAGACACAGACAGACACAGACACAGACAGACAGACACAGACACAGACACAGACAGACAGACACAAACAAACACAGACAAAAACAGACAGAGATAGACAGACACAGACAGACACAGACAGACACACACAGACACAGACAGACACAGACAAACACAGAAACAAACACAGAAACAAACACAGAAAAAAAAAAAACAGACAAACAGACAGACAAACAGACAGACAGACAGACAGACAGACAGACGGACGGACGGACGGACGGACGGACGGACAGACAGACAGACAGACAGACAAATGGACGCACGGACGGAAAGGGCTACCATCCCGAAAGCCAGAATCCGCTGGCCTCGCTGACGCCTGCAGCTCCCCTGCAGCGACCGCATCTCTGGGCGGCGTGCCTTCCGCCGCACGTGCTGCAATCTCCCAAAGCAGCACCCGAGCCACGGGGCCCGCGGGCGCCCGCAAACGAGCCGGGAGCCTCAAAACTGGTCAGGCTGAATACCGGAGTGGAACAAAATGAGAAAACGGCAAACGGTCCGGTCCAATTGTTTAAGACCAAAAGATGGCGTTGACCTTCAGATGGTTTGTGGCTTGTGTAGCTTCAAAACAGTCGACTTTCAATTAGCACACGGGCTATCCAACCTACATCAAGCAGGGATCACAATTTTGCATGTGGCAACTGCTGGTAGTTGAGTGACAGTCTAGGCAAATACCTGCAGCCAATGCCAGTTTTCCTTCAGAACTCCCGAATGGTTGGCAGTGGCAGCAACGCGCAGAATTACAGAGGCCATGTCACCACACAAGTTGCCCAATTCCGAAGTCAGGGCCTTCCCTTGGCATGAAAGCCACACCTTGACGAAGGTATGTCTGAAAATTTCAGCAAGCTGGAGCTTTAGGCCATGCTCATTTATGCATTTACTTTCTCAGCTCAGCCGAAGGAGCCAGTCCCACAGCTTTGCCGGCGCCGCTGTCTGCAAGTGACCCAGGCACCTGCGGCTGAAGCTCTCGCTGCGCGTAAGTTGTGCGTAAGCAACGAAAACTACGAGACTTGCAGCTTTCAGCTGTCAAATGCCAACATGCTGCTGGCTACTACGGCATGGTCATGCAGCCCAATCTCCTATCATTTCTGTAATCTTTGTGAGCAACATGCAGTTGGCGAAGCCTCAATGGACTGAATCAAAGCTCGATCACTGCATTTCGGGCAGGTGTCTCAGCATTTTGCCTTTTTTTACAGTGGCCCGCTAGTGGACATGGTATGCGTCAAAATAGGGGGACAACACAACTTGTGGTTTTCTTTTTGGTTTCCAAATCGACCAACCTGAAAGGGCACCCTCAAAAACACACACCCACATTATTGCAACCTCTGGTAGCCTCCCTCATGGGCTTCAAATGATTGCCGCACCCATCCAGACCAACCATCCGCCTCCAGAGCACCAGCAAGCAAATGTGGCTTCTCGCCCGGGCAGGCGAGCCTGACAAAGGAGCCAGCTCCCGTCTGATTCAGGACCTACCTTGCAATGATGCGCAGCTCCCAGGAGCGACAATGTGGAGAATGAAGGAGAGGCTTGGATGGAGAGGATGAGGACGGGAAGGGATCAGCAGTGTGCCCAAGTCACTCAACCCAAGGTTATACAGGGTCCCCTCGGCACATGCTCGCTCCTCTGGCAAAGGGCAAAGAATTTCCAGCTTGAAAGGCTTGCAAAGGCATTCCCATCAAAACTTGAGATCAAGTGGAGCTTTCCTTGGACCAGAGACTTTGCAAAATTGGCGATCGCTGCGAGCTAACGCGCCATCTGCCTCCGAGCTCTTCAAGAGTGGTGTCCTGCCGAGCAACTTCTCTCCAAATCGGGTCCCAACTATGGAGCCAACACATACGCGCTCTGCAAGCCCATCCACACGTGTCACACACAGCGATGCAAGATTCTCAGTTCTGGCCATTCCGGTTGATGGCAATGCTCGGCGCATTGGTTTTCTCAACGTCAACTCTGCTGCTTCTTGTGCTCGCTGCATGTGTCTCGTAAACTACGCTAGGGAACCGCTTGCCCTTAGAAGCAAGGTGAGACTCTAAAGCGTTCTGCCGATTCAGCAATTCTGGGGATGCATCTAAAAGCACAGGCATTCAGTGACATGCAAATGCCTGGACTGGGCCCCTGAGATTCACAAGTGGGGCCGTGATACCGGGAGAACCTGAGATGCGAGCTTCGACGCCGTCACTTCACGCGCTGCCTGGCTCAGATTGACCATGATGCTTTGAGACCACAGAAGGCCAAAAGACTTTACCCTGAGAAACCACAGCAGCCTTCTGTCCCGCTAAACGCCCTCCCCAGCTTGCCCTGGCTCCATGCCTTCAATGAGAGAGAGATAAAGCTGAGAGCAGGCCTGTGCCTTGCACCAGGCACAACATAAAAATGCCAACAAACGCCCCGCCTTTGCGCCACGCCACTTGCTAGCTTCACTCGTCGTCATCGTGCGACCATGAGCCAGACGTCACGGCGATCCCTGCCGCTTCCACCTCTCGTGTAAAGGCAAGGTACCTGCAAGCCAAGCGATGCTCAGTTACCCTCCCACCAACAAACATGCCAGCAAACCCCCTTTGGAAGACTGCTTTCCTTTCGCAAAGGGTCTTGTGTACTTCCATGTTTGTTCTGCTTTCTTATGTGAGCGGCGAAGGAATCAGAACGCAGAAACGCTCAACCAATCCAAAGGAGAACGCATGCACCGCGAGGCAGGGCACCCCTCTGGCGTGGCGCCGGCGGGTAGCTCAATGTCTTGACCTCAGCAGACGGGTATGGTGTTAATCAGGTGATAACAACGAAGAAGTGATGATCAAGACTTGAACACATTTGATTAAATGAGGTGATGAGGTGATGAGACGACAGGGTGACGAGATGAGAAAAATAAACCCGCAGCTGTACTTCATGATACCTTGCTCAGACAATACATATATCTATATATATATATATGTGAAAACTAAACTTCGATTGTCCCCAAGGGTTGGCATCTGCACTACTGACCCTCTCTTCATCCTAATCTTTTGGCCCTTCCTTGCTCAACGCTTGCTCAACGGCTCCCTCGGGCCTCGGGAGATCTTGTCAAAGGACTCGATGCGGCCCTGAAGGTCGTCACTCTTCAGGGTCAGCAGCTCCTGCTGTTCATCTTGGATCCAGGTATTGGGAATTCTGGTGTCATGCCAAACCGGCACCGACCCGTGTTGAAGCAGGCTGCAAAAGTTCATCCAACTTCCCAATCCGTCTTGTGGGCAGGTTTGCATTGATGAACTTTTGATGGAGGCTGATACTGAGTGCTCAAACTGAATAAGACAAATCCAGCCGGACCCTCAGCCAGTGTGAGAATCCTTACAAAGGTTGAATCACAATTGTCGGTCCATACCGGTGGAAGTCATCTGCCCATACTTAGCCCAGCACCAAGGACGACTCTTTTTTGTCAGGCAACAAGCGTCCGAACATGCGCCGCTCTCCCTGGCCTGGAGTGTGAAGGGGGCGCCGTGGCCAATGAGACCGGACACCTCCATCTCGCCCATGCGGAGGCCGCCACCCTTGCTGCCTGCGGAGAACCCACTTGGGAGACCCCAGACCTGCGATCGGAAACGCTTTCCGATTTGGGGTCGCCAAGGTGTTTACATCGTGCCACAAAGGTGTGCTTGTGTTCTTGCTTCCTGATGCTACCATATAAACAGCCAAAGAATTGACCCATCCTTTCTCTCAAACTTGACTTGCTTGCATTTGGGGTCCGTATGTGAGTGCTGAAACTGGCCAAGCTGCGCCCCTTGATGGGCTGCTGCGTGATAACCTCAGCAGTAAGGGCTAGCGGCCAACAGAGAAATCCAACGATACCAACAAACCTAAGTTGCTCACCTTGCTACCGGCCACGAACCTCTGCATGAGCCAGGAGTTCACCCAAACTGCATTTTCATCAGAAGTCCCACCCACAACGACCACACTCTAGCTGCGCAGCGCAGCTTCAACGACAAGTCAATCAAAATGTGCAGTAAACTTGTATGATAGCAAGAACATTCTTCAACTCCTTCATGTGCCGGGCAAACTTGTCGCATCTATGACTATTTTGTACAGATTATGTTTGCTTCAACAAAGAAAAGGGGTAACCACTGATTCATGCTTGCCCGCCCGTGTGAAAACACATCAGTCCATGAAGCGCCAATGAAATAAAACGAGCTTCCACTGCAAATCAAACATCTTCTCGCAAGTTTATGTACACTAATACACCAAGCCATCCATGTCGTGTCGCTCTGAAAGCAAGATGCCCAATGTCTGATCACCACTACTCCAGGACTGAGCTGAGGTGCATTGTAACCTCGTCCTCCCGATTCCCGGACGTGAATCTTGTCCTGGGAAAGGCGTCTTCGCGAGAACACCAAAACGTGCGCTGCAAAGGATCTGTACCTTTGTACTATTCTTGCCTGGGCTGTAAGCGCCAGCACACCAATGCTTCTACCAAAACAAACATTATGGTAATACTGAACTGGTGCTTCTTGATATGCGTGCAATACAGCAAACCACGATAGCCTGCATCAGCTTCGTGGCCAGCATCACCCGCAAGTGTTCATCGCTAAGATGGCTAACATGCCTATACGAGCATCAAAGTGTCAAAGCCTTCCGAGTGAAGAATAAAGAATGCCAAGATATAGCACGGTCCTGCAAAATGTAAAATGTTCGAAAACTTCCCCGATAGGTCGCACGCTCGCACACTCACACTGGCAAAGAAATGGCTGCCAAAGACGAATGTGCAAGCCGGCTCCTTGATCATGTGGCACAACTTGATGATGTACCTGCCAGCAGGGCCAACAGCATGCTGAAAGACTGCTGACACGTGTGAACAAGGAACACAGAATCCATCGCTCCACTTGCATTTAAACTGGAAATTGCCTTGTGCCACAGTGCCACGCGATCCATTCTGAAAGCAACTAAAGCAGAACGTGCTCACCCACAACTCTTGTCCTCTTGTCGCAAGCCCGCGTACTTGCACCACTTTCCAATGTTGATTGACCTAAATTGCTGCCTTGAATCGAAACCATGGGCAACATGCAAACACACCCTGAATCAAGCCTTCCAGCAGCGCCCTATGAGCAGCTCAAGGTCAATCCATGTGTACGGTTTCTGAGCACTACGACTACTGTACAGCGTCTTGTTCATGGACAGTAACACTTGGGCCCACTAACATTGCCGGGACTCCAACAACCTCCCGCTGACTTGACTCCAAGTTTAAAGCCAATCATGCCTAATCCTCTTCCAAGACCTCAAACGACCTGGTATGAACCCTGCTTTACCCTTAAAAAAATTGTCCCCTCCCAAACCAGAGGTGAGACTCTGTTGCTGCTCAGCTGCGAGATGCCCACCGTCACGGGCTGATCCAGCGGCAGCCCAGTGCGCCCATCATAGACCTGGTCAGCTGTTTTGGCTCTCCAGGGCAATGTTCTTGTTGGTGCTCGAAGACTATACACTGCAACACGCCTAGACGAGTGCCTACGCAAAGCCTTTGCGACTGCAAGGGGTGCCTAGGCGTGCAAATGTGCACGTTCTTTGCCTACGTGGATGCCTACGCAAGGCGCTTGCCCGCCGCTTTGCTACCTCGAGCTTTGTAACTCTGCTGAGTCACGCATTGCCCGCTTGTGGATTGTGAGCTTAACTGTGATACGCACAATGCACTTTGGCAGCCCCAGCTCCAAGGTCGCATTTTTCAGTACAAGTCTAGTACTCAAGGTGCACCATTTGGCAGCTGCAAACTGAAACGAGAAGCTCAACATGATCAGCAGCAGTCAAAACATGAAGGCTTCAAAACCACGTACAAGTCCATGATGTAGGCTTGCCTACGCAGGCGCCTAAGCAAGGAAAAAACAATGATGTAGGTGAAATGCCAACTCGCTCATACGCCCCCCCACCGAAATTGCCTATGCGAACATGATGCAATTCCCCTTTGTATAAACCCTTTCATCCGATTGAAAAAAGCTGCCCGACCACTGCATATTTGACCTGGCTACACCTTGCTGCAGGGAGAGAACAACAAAGCGAGGCCTCTCTACTTGCGAAGTAACACAACTGGAATTATTGATTCTCAATCGGCTTGAGGACAAGCAAAGTTCTCACTGATAACAGCCAAAACAAAGCAACTATGCGTCACATAGTTGCTTCTAACCTGGGGCCAGAAGCATAATGTTGTCACAGAAAACAAGCTATCGTAAGCAATCATGAAAGGCTCAGAGTCTCAGGCTCGGAACCGTGTTGCCAAACCGAACTTCTGTCGCGCAATTCAAAAAAGTTGGAAGGCCCACCAGAGATGGTTTGCTTCGGGGTATCCTCAAGTCTGAGTTGTGAGGGTTTCCACTGTGGATGGACGAAATCCTGCACCACCTAAGAACCCTGCAATGATTCGAATCTCCTCCAAATGCCAACATTTCTTTTGGTGTCCCATGGTTTCAAAGTGGTGAAGGAATTCGTCCACCCACCGGTCCATGGCTCTTTCACCCCACATGCCTTGGTCTTGCCCGGGTAGGCGGCGTCCAGCAACCACTTGTTGCCTGTGCCCTCCTGGGCCCGACGCAGCGCCTCCAGGACGAGGCCTCCAAACCGGTGTCCGATTGGCAGACCAAAACCCCCAAACAAGAAACGTCCAATTCAGGGGTTCCCTATGTTGACTCCAAATGGCCCCCCAAAAGAAGAAACACGAGTGGTTCTCCTTCAAGTTCCCCTTGAAACCCCCAAACAGGCACCATCCAGAAACACATACCCATATGGCCCAAGGCGATTAAGACGGCGCCACCTCGCAAGTGGTGGACACGCATCACCCCCTAAATGGGTATGAGTCAAAAGTTCAACCCACCAGGATATGGACAGCAGTTTCTAGTCCTTCCACTTACCAGGGTTCCATGTTGGGGTTAATTACCCTATTTTTTACCCACACCAAAATCAAAGGGGACACTCCTCATTCCTTTGCATCTGTGGCTGCCCCCCAAAAAAAACAGCACATGCTTTCCTTCGGCAACTCGCCTCTGGAAGCCTCCTCAGCGTACATCTCATCGAAGGAGCCGACGCGGTACTCCTCGCCATTCCAGCGCCCCGCCGAGCTCAGGATGTTTTCGAAGATCTGGCCCACGTTCATGCGGGACGGAACGCCTCAGCCGCACAACGACCGAAGAAATGATGCCGGATGCAGGATGCGGGTTATTTCCCTGCCTTTGGCCACTTCGATGATTCGAGAAACTTGGGCGAAATAGTTGCAAGAAGAAAGCGAAGCGACCATGATGCGAGAAACTCGGGCGAAATAGTGCAGGATGAAAACGAAGCAGTCAAACACAGTTGACTTGCATGGTCAGTTGAGAGGCGTTTGGTCTAATCTCAAAAAAACGCTCATCTTTTACACCAAATCTGGTGGCTGCTGGGAATACTGGTACAGTACCCCAAATCAATCCGTGAGCTCTTCCCACATCTTTGCATGCTTGCAAATCCCCTTGGCGCCTTGCCCTTGCCTTGGAACAGTGCAACTGAGCCACCCAACGGATTCAAGCAAACATCCACGCAGGTCCCATCTGGCAGGTAGGGCATGTTATTCTCATCCTCGATGATTGAGACAATGCCCTTGTTCCCGTGGCGTCCAGAGAGCTTATCACCAATCTGAATGGGGCACTGGACAGCTAAGAGCACCACAGCTACTCTCTTTTCCATCAACTCGCCCATCTGGGGAACCACCATGGCTCGGACGCTCGAGTCAATGACCCGGCCCTGGACTCCGTCAGGAACTTGCAACGTCTTGTAGTTTGTGCAAATGGCGGCGTCGCCCGCTTGCAACCAGGTGCCCTCCTGCACCATGCCATTCTCCATGAAATCCAAGCCGTCCGGGCTTTGCAGCACCTCACCTTCGCTGAGCTCCTTCACGAGCTCCTCCACATGGACGGAGGTCAGAAGCTGCTCACGGACGCAGCGCTGAGAAATGACTATGGCATCCTCATAGTTGTAGCCCTTGTAAGGCATGTAGGCAACCACCAGGTTCTTGCCTAAGGCCAACTCCCCACCACTGATGCCTTGTCCTTCAGCTACTACGTCTCCTTCGCATAAGACTTCGCCAGCTTCAGCCACCGGTGTGTCATGCGCCAGAGTGTGCTTCTTGGTCTCGCCGGCATCTTTCAGCGCATGGTGGATCATTTCTGTGTGTACGCAATATTCTGTTTCTTCCCACCCTTCCGGCAGTGGCAGCTCAGGCAAAGGTTCTTCCTGTACTAAGCTGAGTCGGAAAAGTCTAAGCCTTCCCAACACGCATAAAACATGCTTGAGTCAGAGCAAAAAAGGAACCCTTCTCCTGCAAGCCCAATGCCAGTGGCATCCACAAAGATTTGTCGACACCGGCGCGCTGAAGGCTGCTGGCTAGCTCCCGCTCCTTTGCGCCCACCTCTACCTTGGGATCGGAGAAGATGGCCGCCAGCCGCTGCAGCTCATCCGTGGACGACCGCATACACAGCTCGTTGAAATCCTTCGAACTCGGCAAAGACATGTTCAGACATGCAACTTTGTCACGACAACCGTACGGGGAGAAGCAAGTCACAACGCCACAAGCTGAGATTGCGGCGTGAGCTATTTGAGCAACGGCACAAGCAAAGCACAATTGCAATGGATCTCCTCGAACGAAGCAATTGACGCCCATGAGCTTTGATACAAGCCCCGCAGTCTCTGCCGGAGCTCCTGGTCAATTGGGTCGGCTTGTCCTTGGTGCAGGGAGAGCCTACAATGCCGAGCAAGCGTTCCGCACCTCTTGACGAACCCAGCCCTAGGATCGGTCTGGGATTGCCACACTGCAAACCTACGGGAACTCGCAGGACAAGGAGCTCACGACGCCCCGTGCCACCGTCACGTTTTGGCCATCGCTGCAGAGAACCTGGCCATCCAGCCCGGCACGCCGGGTGCGGTCGCTGTAAGCCGCCACGTGGGCCTGCGGCTGTCGGAACAAAAGGCCGGTCCCATCTGTTTCGGCGGACTGCAATAGCGCCTCGCATCTGGCACCAGCCAGTCTTTTGCTGAGCCATTTGCAGGCCAACATGCACGCTGCTTCGAGTCCTCGAGTTTCCAACACTGGTTTGGTTGATACCTTTGAAGTAGGGCATCCCCATCTGCATGAAGGACATTATATTATAATGTCAACTGACACCCCATTAAACAAGCTCAAAGGCACTGGTCAAGTCAAAGCCTGTATCGACGCCCCCTGAACCAATCTGGCAGGTCTCACAACAATCCAGAATGTTGGCGAATCCACAGACCCATCACTGCGATCACCAGTGCCACGCATTCCTAAAATGCAAAACAGAATAAGTACAGTCAGTGGTTGTGTTGGAGTCTAACTTGGACACAGCAAAGATTTTTCACTCCGAAGCACAGAGCTACGCTCCTTCGTGCCCGTGGCCTTGCCTCCAGACCGCTGCCAACAACGGGCCGCTCGGGCCACAGGGTAGGCACTGCCTGACGCCGCCATTGGTGCGAGTCCAAACCCACTCCGCCACCATGCATTGCAAGGGATGAGCAACTTGTGTTGAGAACCCGAAACTAGCACCGCTCCAAGTCCCCACAACTGTGTTTTTGATCCATGGATGCCCACAAAGAGAAACAGGTAGCGGACACGATCGCAAAAACGTGAATGACACGGTACTTCCCCGCATCTATCAATGTGGATACTGAATTGGGCCTGCCCCCAAAGGCCCAACAACCGGCTCGACGGCAATCCCAAGGACCTGCTGCTGGTGCTTGGCGCCCATCAGCTGCCGGTTCGCATCATCGTGTTCCACAAAAGGGATGAGCCCAACGCCCGGAGAAGTGGGAGCACCGCCTCGGAATCCGGTCATCCCATTGCGACGTGGTAACCCCCAAATGGGCAATCTCGGTCCAAGAGGAATGAGGCAAGACCGGAACAGCCCATGGGTCCATGTCGCAAAGCGGTGAGCCATCCGGCTTTCCGGCCAGGGTACCTCCAAACAGTTCCTAGGTCTGTTCTCCATCCCCAGAATCTACGAATCAGCTTCGGTCAAGCCACAAGCCATGTACTCCACTTGCTCCGGCAAACAAGTGGCGAAGAGCCCCAGGTGCGTCACAGGAACTTTGGCCGGATCCTGCCAATCTGGCTCCTCGGGCAGACTCTGCGCGAAGAAACATGCTGCTTCTGTGTTGGGCCAGTTGTGGGCAGTAAAATGATCCCAGCGAAAACTCTTTGCAAGTGGAGCTTAGCTTGTGCCGTCATCCTATTTGTGCAACCAGTGGCGGGTTGATATCGTTGCCCCGTTGTTTCCTCGCATATTCCTGGATTCCTCATCCGAGTTCCAAAGCCAGGCAGCTCACACCTTTTCGACACATGGATCAATGCATCAGAAGGGATCTGAGCCAACATACCGCAGGAATCCGAAAACCGGCCTACTCCCGGCCTCCACCTCGCCGCCCCGCTTGGGGCGCACGGGCGCAGCCAGCGACCCATTGGGCCGGAAGGCCCTGTCCGCCTTCACCACGCGCGCTTGAAGCTGCTCTCGTGGCGGGAGGTACCTGAGAACTGTGACTCTGCATGGTCTTGACATGCTGCGGCTTGTTATATTGGCAAATCCGGCAGAGAAAAGGCCTGGAGGGTGGGGCGGGGAAGCATGACATGGCAACCAGCAAGTTGGTCTGCTTTACCATTTCCTGGCAAGGAAGACACATCAAGGCCCGGAGCGTGTCAAGGCAGGTACCGACCATGCCGTAAGTTTACGGCTTTCTGGCATTGATGTTTGGAATTATCCTCAAGGTTAGCAAATTGTAAAGTTGTTGCATCCTCGCACAGACCGCAACGCTGCTAACCTAAAAAGTGTTTCCTAATAAAGGGCATGGTTCTGCCAAAAAAGGTAGTCATGTTGCAACTCCAGCTGAAAAAGGCATGAAAGGCTTCAAAGCCATTTGCCTGCGTCAAGGCAGGACGTGAGGTCAAATCGCAGCGGTCAGATTCAACAGCCGAACCTTCATCTTGGTGTACGAATGCGACTGAGTATGTCAAGCACATTCAATCGCATGGAGTTGGCAGGAATCTGCTTAAAGAAGTCTCACAGGAATCAACTCCTGCGCTGAGTAAACTCCAGTCCACAACAGGCTCGGGAATTCCGGGCTGGCCGGCTACAAGGGGGGAAATGGGTGTGATATGGCCGTGATGGGCAAGGGTGCCTTATCTCTGACTTGTCTTAGACTTAGCTCTGCGCGAGCATAGGGTGCCAAGGACGCTTACCCCTTGGCTGCCAACCATGAGTTTACACCACTGCACGAGCAGCCTGGATACTTAGAGAATTTCGGAAAGCATCACTGTAAACTGTTAGTGAAAGCAAACACATATGTTGGTGTCTTCACCTGTTGGTTGCAATGTGATCATGTCGCCAAGGCTTGGAAGATCTCTCTGCGCCATCACCAGTTCGAGATCTTTGAGATGAATCAGCATTCTCCCAAACTCTGGGCGCACTACGAGGGCAGGATTGAAACGTTGCTTCACATTTGCACTCGTTTCAACCTGAAGCTTGCTGAAGCCTGTCACATCTGGTTGCACCCTTCCCATTTCACACCTTTCGGTGTCTCAGCCCGCCTGGCCTCCAGGGCAGAGTGAGGCGCTTGCCTGAGATCACCTGCTGATGTGGAGCCTGGCAAGGCATGGCCACACCACAAGCTTTGTGGGGTTTGCTTCCGTTCGGGTCCCCGCGGGTCCTTTGGTTCCTTCTCAGAGGGCGTCCAAACAGGTGCTGTTTAGCTCACTCGTGGCGAAATCCTTGCCATGATGATAGTCAAGAGTGTTTCTTAGGGAACTTGGGGAGCGACACTCGGCACAAAAACGTTCTTCAAAGGATGTGCTGCCAAACCCAACCACGCTGGCTCCCAAGGCCCGAGTGCCAGAGGCAAACGCCACCTCGCTGGAGCGGTGCAAAGGTCGCGATGCGGGCTCCAAGCCGAGGTTAGACACCCTATCCAGGAACACTTCTGCTTTGAGAGCCCTGCTGTTTATCCGAAACGAGCTGCCTGCACCGCGCTTTGTCCGCCCGAAGCATTGTGCCGGGGCGCTGCACGAGCACGTGCGCGCTTCGTCCGCATTGCATTTGAATTGGGATTGCCGTCTGGAGCATAAGCAAGTCCGCATTGTGCTTTGCTTATGTGTGCCATGTTACGCAAGGAAGCATCCAAAAGCGCTTCATGTCAAAAGGTCCAGGGTCGCGCAGTCCAAAAAGTACTTCTTTCAGCAGAGCCCCCTTTGGATTGCTAGTAGCCCGAAGCATTGCATAAGCATGAGTGCAACCATGCCCGAGCAACAAGACTGCGAGATACGCCCAACTTTGTTTCGGGTCAGCATGTATGCCTCAGTGGCACGTGCTAGCTCTGGCAATTCTGAGTATACTGGCATCACCTCCGCTTTCTTTCAGGAACATGGTAATCAAGATAAAACACGAGGATGCTCCGGCGTGCAGTAGGCAACGGATCCCATTAACTTCTTTCTATTGTCCGTTGGGCAGCGGAAAATAGCCCCGAAGCCTAACGCTGTACTGTGCAACCAACTAACTCATGTCAATACTTGGGATGTTGCTCGAAGCATGCACACATCAACCCAATTCGCTTCATGCAGTTGATTGATGGATGCAAAAAAAAGAAAAAGCTGTCCGTTCTGTGTGGCCCTTTTCGAGCCAGGCCCTCAGTCATGTGCAGATTTCGCCCTCCGAAGCCCTGCCTGCATCTCCCCGTCTTTGCTGAGCCGCACGTTGGCAGCCATAGCGCTGACCAGGCCCGCGCTCATCCCTTCCCCCGTCTCGATTGGGCAGACCCTGCCATACCTGAATCACATGGCTGGATTTTGAAAAGGGAAGAAGCGAATGTTACAAGCGCCAGAGACACTTAGTTGCCATGCTGCAAGTGTGCTGCAAAGGCAAGCACGGGGGTATTTTCAAGGGTATAGAATACGTCTTGACCCACGCTTACAGCGGCTGGATAACCACTTAGTCAACAAACGTCACTAGGCTAGTGACATATTTGTCAAATATAGGGAAATCTCACTTGCCGCAAGTGCCCCGAGCTCAATTAGACGACATATTGAGGCAGGCTCCCCCTTTGCAAAAGCCCCCGCGCAAGACCTTCATCAAGCTTGATGGGAGGCTTCCAAAAGTAGAGCAAAGCGGCTAAAAGCAAACATTCTGCCTTAAGACTAAAATCTACAGAAATGTTTGCTTTGCTCCATCAGGAGGAGCGCAAGCATCTACGCGTCTCAAATCTGTTTGCCACTAGCTTCAATTGGAACTTGGGATCTCTTCATACGGGACCTCGGTGCATATGCAGATGCCCCTGACAACTCCATGCTGCTGAGTGGAATGGATGAGACGGATGCTCTGAATCCGCTTGATCTTGTCGAGACCCAACTCGCTCACCTCAGCGTTGACAGCATGGTGCTTGACTGTAAAGTTTGTGGCAAACCACTCAGCCAACAAATTCGGATTAGGTCCTAGCATCTGTCCCATGTCATGTGCATCACGTGCCTTTGCTACAATCTGTGGTTGGGATTGGCGACGTGCATTTGAGGATGGCCAACACTGCCAAGTAATCCGGGACAATGACAATCAATACACATCTGGTTGGCAGACTGGCATTCATCAACCGAACAGGTGCGAGGTTTCATTTTCAGATAGTGCACGGAAGAAAGAAAAAAAAGCAAGGGCCGCCAGCGCTTTCTCCGATTCGCGCACCTGAGTAATCCTTCGCGCTTGCATCATCTCCGCCAGAGGGTTCACCTCGTCAAAGAGCTGGCGGTTGTTCCTGAGAGGAGATGGGAACCGCCAGCACACAGCTCAGACAGAACAAGCTCGGCAGACTGATGGGAGGGTAGCCCTGCCAAAGCCTATAAGGTAGCTATCAACACTAGACATTGGAGCAAAAGATGAGTGAATCTGAGGGGAGTGGCCCAGCTGCCTGATAGTGCAAACAAGCCCATCTTAACAACCAAATCAAGCGAAAAGATGGCTCATTTGGTTCTGCCCAGATCAGCTTTGTTCTCTTTTGAGCTCCAAAACGCTGGCAGGAGTGACCTGCAAAAAAAACGTGCTTAGCATGCATTTTTTGCTGCGGCCTTAGCGAATCACAGTCTTGATATCAATTGTGGGCCGGTAACAAGTCTGGCGGCGTGTTTGCGTGTTCGTTCCTATTTTTTACACGCCGTGTGTATGTGATTACTGATGTATGCGTGCATTGTTCTATATATATATATACATGCTACCCCCCCCCCCCCAGGTACCCAGGTTTGGGCTTGGTTCGGATGTGCTTTGACCGCGGAAGCAGGCAGGAAGAATAGCTCAGATTTGCACACTGGGAGACCAGAGGAAGGAGGTTTGCCTCATTGAAGAAAGACGCCTTGGACGTGACCCATGCCCTTTTTCAATGGTTCTTCCACACAAAATTCAATTCACATATCTTCCCACGCAAACCATGCCTTCTTTCAAAGGCTCTTCCACAGATAACTCACATATCTTCCCACACAAACCATGCCTTGTTTCAATGACTCTTCCACAGAAAATCACATATCATCCCACACAAACCATGCCTTGTTTCAAAGACTCTTCCACAGAAAATTCACACATCCTCTCACCAAACACATGTCTTTTTACATGTCTTCTTTCAATGAAACAAAGGCAGCATATGTGAAAGAGTTGCCAAGGAAAGTGAACCCTGTGTAGAATAAAACCAGGCTATGGCT